AGTTTCATGGAAGAGGTCGTATTTAAGTTAGGTCTTGTAATATGAGTAAATTTTGCATGTGCAGGAAAAGGGGTTAGGATGTTCGTGGAACAGGTTTCTATAGCACACAATCGTTTTACAGAAAGGAGCAGAATGGGAAATGAATCTAGGGAGGAGCTTGCTGTCCAAAGTATTATGGGGTCACAAGGCCCTGGGTTTCATACTCAAAGGCTAGGGTTTTATCCTATAGACAATATATGAGTGGGTTCAATCTGGGCTTTTTATGACACTCACATATTGAGTTTCAAAGCTGCAGGTGTGTGAGCAGAATCATTCTCAACATTTTTGGGCCCAGAGCAAGAGCACGAATGGAGGCCCACATACTGTGTGTCTAAATATTTCGAATTTTCTAAGTAACCAATACCCAATACGTGGCCCTCATTTTCACCCAGGGTCTGCAGCTTGTCCAGAAGGGGACCGTCCTGGGCCTGGAGGCCATAGGAGACCTACTCTCCCGGGGAGCCACCCTGCCACTGACGACTTGAGTGGTCTGTGGACCTTTAGGAGGAAGTCAAGGCAGAAGCCATAGTCAGGCCAGAGACTAGATCTGCTGAAGGAGGTGGATGACTCAGTCTCTTTAGGTTCCTTGGCCAGGGTGGGGTGGGGGCAGGGATCATGCTTCACTTACCTCACAACTCACTTTTCTGACCTCAGGATTGCGAGACGTTTCTAAATATCACCCAAAACTGTATCCCCCACTCCACTTCTCTCCAAAGCAGAGAGAAGGGCAGAAGTACACCTTAAAGCTATTGAAGCCCCTCCTTCCTTGGTTTCCAAACCAAGCCCCACTCCACTGGACGAGGGGGCCTGACTCAGCTGCTCTGTCCTGATGCCCCTATTTTAGGTGCCCTCTGCTGAGTATCAAACTTCAATAAAACACCATGCTCCAAAGAAAAAAAGTCTTTGCATTTCTGCGTTTGTGATGTCTGGGGTCTTGGAAAGTATATGACCCCTTTTGGCCTGGTCTAAGGGTTGTGCTAGGTCTGAACCCAACTCCTGACCCAGAATTCTTGGGGTGGGGAAGGAGTTCAGTCTCGGGTTTGTGCAACAAAACCTCATATGGGAGTATAATGCACAAGGAGGGCTCGTCATCACTGCTAAATGTGGGGGAGGTGTTTCAGTTTGATTTTTGTTTTGCAGCAGAAGATGGATACAGAGCGTTGGTATTTTAGAAAGCAAAGAGGAGCAGCAGGGAAGGTGAATGGAAAGGCGGTGAACAGAAGCAGGAGAGTTACAGGGAGCAAAGGAGATGAGGGTCTGGAAGAAGAGGTGCAGGGTGGGGGAGGGCTGGGCAGAGGAGGAGCTGGAGGGAGGGGTGTCAGGAAGTCATCATAAATGATCAGGGGTCAAAGGGAAAGTTGGGTTCAAGGATCACTCAGAGGTCCCCAGATTTTTATAGTTGAACTGTATCCCCCAGATGGGTATATATAATTCCTAACTCCTGACACCTGTCAGTGTGACCTTATTTGGAGAGAGCGTACTTGCAGATGTCATCGAGTTAAGATGAGGTCATTAAGATGGCACCATAACCCCATATGGCTGGTGTCCTCATAAGAAGAGAAGAGATGGGGTGCCTGGGTGGCTCAGTTGGTTAAACATCCTGACTCTCAGTTTTGGCGCAGGTCATAATCTCAGGATCAGAAGTCCCACCTCCAAGTCTGCACTCTGCCGCGAATCTGCTTGAAGCTTCTCTCCCTCTGCCCCTCCCCCCCCACTCTCTCTGTCTTTTTCTCTCTCTCAGAGAAATAAAATAAATCTTAAAAAAGAGAGAGAGAGAGAGAGAGAGAGAGAAGAGACACGCAGGGAGATGCCACGTGCCGACAGAGACAGAAGCTGGAAGTCAACACCAAGGATTGCCGGCCGCCACCAAGCAGCTAGGATGAGGCAAGGAGGGGGGATCCTCTCCTACAGGTTTTGGGGGGGGAGCAGGGAGTCCTATCAACACCTGGATTTTTTGGACTTCTAGCCTCCAGAACAGAGACAAACCCATTTCCATTGTTTGAAAGCACCCAGTTGGTGGGAGTTTGTTACCACAGCCCTAGGAACGAACGCACAGCTTTCATGGCACAGCAACAGGGCTGGCTCTTTCTCAACTGGGCATTCAGGGAGGGCGAGCCTTTGTCCCCACCAGCGCCTGGGTGGGGATGTTCTCCCCAACGTGCATGTCCTCTCCACAAGAAATGAAGCCCCTCTCTGTCACCTCGCCATGTAAAAACAAAGTCCTAATTCACAATGGGTTTCAATCACCTACTATTCAAAAAGGCATACACAGAAGGTATTAATTTACTACAGGTTTCCCTTGACTACTCTGTAAGAAGGCAGTTTCCAAGTTGAAGTGAGAAGGTTTTATGCACCGTATTCCCATTCTGTATGGGCGATATTCTAATAGAGGTTTCAAAGGTATTTTTGGTAGCATTTTAGGGTATTATCTTTCATCTCCCCTGGTAAAAATTATTCAGAAAACCTAAAGGAGATTTCATCTCTAGAAGGAACATTTTTCAGAGAGGAAATGGTTGCAGCACCGAACTGCCAAAGAGACAGCTGAAAAAATGGGTCATGCTTTCATCCCATTCTGGGACATAAGCTGCCAAGCGGTTCACTGCTCATTTTTGTCCTCTTCTCGTAAACAAGCTGCGTTAACAAGTTACTTTAAAAAAGCATACTAATTTCCCCAGTGAATTACACAGGAAAGAATCCAGCGTTCCCTCCAGAGAACTCAAATAGTTGTTTGTTCTCAGAGCTCAGGTGTGGTAAAATTGCTCTCGGCTAAAAATGCAGGCTGGCTATTGGCCAAGGGACTGGAGCTTTCCATCCGCCCCAGCCCTGATTCCTCACATTGGTGTGCAATTCGTCACTTAACTTAATGGAAAAAGAAAAAGAAAAAAAGAAAAAAAAGGACTCGATTTTCAGTTTCAATTTAATTACACAATCTATAGTGCCCGATGGGAAGGATTTAGGGGCAAAGATTAATGCTCAACAGTGCTCCGTTTTACATTCTTTTCTGATAAAGAACACTGTATTGATCATCCAAAGTGAGTTTTCAAATTTGTTTTTTAAAAGCCAAATATGGGGGGCGGGGTTGGCCCAGTGATTTAAAGAAGGGGTGTGACTTCATTTCTTGGTTCTCTGCCAAAATCAATAAATTAGAGGTGTAAGGTGCCTCTTTGTATTGTACTGTCTGTGTGTTCGTGAGAGTGGAGAGCTCTTCTCTACTTGGGAGAAGAAAGAATAGAAATCCTATTGTAAAATGAGACATACCAGCTGCAGACAGTGAACAACACAACTGTCTGTTCTGAGAACGACTGAATAACAAAATATACTTAAGACCCTTCCTTGTATAATGAATGTACTGAAGACCATTCGTTATTATGTTAAAGTCCAAAGAATCTCACTCTCTTATTGGGACTGGAAACCATTATGATTTCATCTGGCAACACATCAGTGTTTCAGATTACAAGTAAATATTTGGTGTTCTATTTTGGTGTCCACATATTCTGTTAGTTTAGCCAAATGTAAAAAGAAGTAAAGTATAGGAAATGAAAATCTGCCCATAAGAGGTGGCCTTAATATATGTGTTGGTCAACTGCTTTAACTTGTTAACATAATAAAGAAAACAGGTATTCCCTATGTGACTTAAATAAATAAAAATGGTAGCAATAAACTTTACCGGTTAACTGTTGCTCAGCCTTACCAAACTACTTGAGCACATACAAATAACTGAAAATATAGTGATCAAGAAATGAAGCTCAAAAAGCAAATAAACTACTTGAAATGGCTCACTGATTTTTCCATTGCACAATGATGGCAGTTTCAAATATCAAGATGGCTGCTGCTATCAGTCAACATATCCAATTACAGGCAAAAGCAAAATGGTACCTGATCAGCATTAAATTTTGCCTCCTGAACTTGTGGTATAGTACATTAGCCTAATGAGTTAACTATTTTTAGAGCTTGATGAGTTACAGGGCATCTGGCACAGATTAGGTAAAGCTAGAACTTAATTGGGGTGGAATGACAATGAGGGCTAGACTTGGAATTTACTTGGGAGGGCATTAGAAGACTTTGGAAAATGTACCCTTGACTGGTTTAAAAGTAGACTTACCACTCTTCTCCTTGGCAAGGGTGAGTTATAATTTATGCCCGGGGAAAAATCATTAAAAAATAAAAGGACATGGAGATTTGTGTTTGCGAGTGGAGCCCAAGCATGCCGCTATTGGCTCTCCTGGAGTGTGGTGGCACAGGCAGCCTTTGGGGAATGACAGTCCTATCACCTATGGAAAGAAGAGGTGGGGTGGGGGAAGACAGGGTTTGGTGAAGTTCTCCCTTGGTTTTATGGGTGGCTGTAGTCAACTCCCTTCAAAGTGACACAGAGTGACTCCATCTACCAGCAAATAAAAATAAGTCTGTAACAAGACTGGGTAGGAAAGCAGTGAAGCAGACAGGAAGACGCTGGCTAACCATGCTGCATAGAAATCAAAGATCAGAATGGAAAGTCAACTTGTATATTTCCCCTGGGAGGGGTTCTGTTTGGAACTCTTTGGGAGGGAGTGACTTACAGCTGGCCAATTTAAAACTTGGGAAGCTCACACAGGGGAGTCACTCAGTTAAGGGAAAATTAGATACAAGTGTCTATTTGTAGCCATGAGAATATCAATGCAGAGGTCATGATATGTTCAGGGGAACCCTTGCAAATCAGAACTGGCAGGGTTTTACTTCACTGTTTCCTTCGGGGGGGTGTGTGGGGGGAAGGAAGGAGATGGGGAGACAGAGAAAGCAGATGATCATCCATGTCTGACCAATGTATTTGTTCTCAGAACCAACGGCATTGCTCATACTTAATAATAATACTTATTATTGCTAATACTTAATAATTAGCAAAACTTTTTTTTTCCATATTTACAAATGCTTAACTATTAACATCTAAAGCATAACTTTACAATTTATGAGAAGGGAAGAAATACCTGGTCGGTGACATGTTCCTGGATTTTTTCTCTAGTCACTGAAAGAGAAAGCAAAAATAAATGTGACATTAAAGTGTGAAAAATGAATAAAATGCAGTACTGATCCCGCTCTGTTCTCATGCAAATACCAAAGCAGTCAAGGGCTATCTGCGTAAACACTTATATTGCGATATGGACCTTTATGATCACTCCAAAAATTGGGAGGAAAAAAAAAAAAGCCAAATCTTAAATAAACCACATGAGGCAAAAATGTTAGAGAATGGAGGGGACATCCAGTAAGAGTGATACCCGAAGACTGCATGAAACTTTGGCAGAGAAGTGGAGAGAAAAAAGGACTGAGTAAAAACTTGAACAACAGCCAATCAAAGGTTTCCAAACCATGACAACCTGTTCAAGTATAATATGAACACTGAGCTCCTGGAACTTTGAGGACCAGAGAAGGAGCTCTAACATGGCAGGTGGCACGAGCACTACTTTTAAAATCTTTTCTTTTACTCCTGAAGATAATAAAGACGTTATTATACACTGTTGTTACAGTGCCGCAGAGATTAAAATGAAAACCAACAGTTTTATGAAAGGTATCTTGGTCAGGACAAAAAAAAATCATGGTAACGTATGAAAGGTAACAAAGATATAAAGAATAAAGATGCTAAAATGGTAAAGCTTCATGGTGAAAACAGCCTGAAAACGATCAGTGTCATGTCTTATGTAGAAGAAAAAAAAATCCTTAGTAATAATAAATAATCAACAAACCAACCAACCAAGAAAGAGGGGAAAGAAGAAATTTTGCACCACTAGAGTTATTAAATGCTTGTGAACATCTTGGTATGATACACACTTGATTAAACATGTCCTTAAAAATTTTTATTTTATTATTTTATTTTATTTTTATTTTTACTACTTTTATTTTATTCTTATTTTAAATAAGGTAACTGTGTAGTCACTTGCAATTTTAGGAAACAATACAGACCGATCCTGGGTACCCTTTACCCAGTTTTCCCTGATGGTAACATCTGGTAGATCAAAAGCTAGGATGCTGACACTGATGCAGTCAGGACCCAGAGCATTTTCATCACTGCGAGGATCCTTCCTGGTGTGCTCTTAGAGCCCCACCTATTTCCTACCACCCCCTCCCTCCTTTTAGCCCTGGGCAACCACTAATCTGTTCTCCATCCATTTCAGGAATATTGTATGAATAGAATCCTCCATTATAACCTTTGAGGTTGGTTTTCCACACTCAGCAGAGTTCCCCAGAGAGGCAGCCATGTTGGCCTGTGTATTCCTGTGCAATCTTTCCTTTTCATTGCTGCATAGTATTCCATGGTGTGGAGGGACAAGGTGTGTGTTGCCACTCACCCACTGAAGGTCATCTGGGTAGTTGCTAGCTATTATGAATAAAGCATCTATCAACATTTGCATGCAGGCTTTTTTGTGAGGCTGAGGCTTTATTTCTTTGGGATAAATGCCCAGGAGAACAATCACTGGGTTGTATGATAGTTGCAAGATTAGTTGTTCAACAAACTGCCAAACTTTTTTTTTTAAGACATGTAATGAATAATTGATATTTACTAATCAATTAATGAACCAAAAAAAGCACATTTGAGCATTTCACTAAGGATTCAAGCACTAGGCCAAGTGTTTTATGAGATACGGCAGAAGTGTAAGGAGCACAGAAATTGGAATGACAGCGTTAAGAGTGGACTATCACGCCACTGTTACAAAATGCCAGGGGCCAATCTTGGAGTCTTCAGATAATAAGAACCCATTTCCTTCCTTTCTTAATGGCATTGCTCTATGAGATACTCTTGATATGTTTTAATAATTAGATATCTTGTGTTGGATTATACACAGAATGTTTGAAGAAGAGGCAACATGATTTGTGGAAAAAGCTTGGCCTTTTGAGTTAGAGCACTAGTCTTGCCTAGAAAAAGGAGTAGAACATCCAGCATAAGGAAGAGCATGTGCAAAGTCAGGCTACAAGGGGGAGCAGGGCGGGTCCAAGGCATGGAGAGGAAGCCATCATGGCCAGAGTAGAGACATAGGGTGTGTGGTGTAATATGAGGCAGGGAAGCAAGTAACATAGACCACTTCTGGGAGATTTATGATCATTGCAAGAGCTGTGGGAAGTCAGTTATTAAGGAAATTTAGGGCAGGGTGTGGGGAGGAACATTGGAACTATGTGGTCAAATGTGCATTTTAAAAAAAGCACTCAGGGGCGCCTGGGCGGCTCAGTGGGTTAAAGCCTCTGCCTTCGGCTCAGGTCATGATCCCAGGGTCCTGGGATCGAGTCCCACATGGGGCTCTCTGCTCAGCAGGGAGCCTGCTTCCTCCTCTCTCTCTGCCTGCTTCTCTGCCTACTTGTGATCTCCATCTGTCAAATAAATAAAATCTTTAAAAAAAATAAATAAAAAGAGCACTCAATACAGTGTTGGTGGGAATGCAAGCTGGTGCAACCACTCTGGAAAACAGCATGGAGGTTCCTCAAAAAGTTGAAAATAGAGCTACTCTACGACCCAGCAATTGCACTACTGGGTATTTACCCTAAAGATACAAACGTAGTGATCCGAAGTGGCATGTGCGCCAGAATGTTTATAGCAGCAATGTCCACAATAGCTGAACTATGGAAAGAACCTAGATGTCCATCAACAGATGAATGGATAAAGAAGATGTGGTGTATATATACAATGGAATACTATGCAGCCATCAAAAGAAATGAAATCTTGCCATTTGCGACAACGTGGATAGAACTAGAGGGTATTGTGCTAAGCGAAACAAGTCAATCGGAGAAAGACAATTATCATTATGATCTCCCTGATATGAGGAAGTGGAGATGCAATGTGAGGGGGTTGGGAGTTATGAAAAGAGCAAATGAAACAAGATGGGATCGGGAAGGAGACAAACCATAAGAGACTCTTAATCTCACAAAACAAACTGAGGGTTGCTGGGGGTAGGGGGGTCTAGAGAGGGGGGTGGGTTTATGGACAATTGGGGAGGGTATGTGCTATGGTGAGTGCTGTGAGGTGTGTAAACCTGGCGATTCACAGCCCTGTACCCCTGGGGCTAATAATACATTATATGTTTATAAAAAAAATTTAAAAAATTATAAAAAAAGAAAAGAGCACTCAATGCTTGTTGCTAACTGCGAAGAGGCAGGAGAGGAGCCTGGGGTGGCAGCGGCAGTACAAAGCCTTCCTTTTGTTTCCTTAGGAACCGAGGGAACTCTGAAGTAACTCAAGAGAAAAATGAGAGCCCAAGCAATCAGATCATCGTCATCTAATAATGCAGCAGCCCACTGGACTCGAGTGAACAGAGCAGAGAACAATCTGGCATCTAATCACAGCCCTGCCATTTACTAGGTGTCTGATTTGGGGCCAGTTAACGAATGCCCAGCCTGTTTGGCCATCTATAACAAAGAGTTCACAATATCTCCTTGTCCCCAGAATTGGGAGGATTAGAAGGAAGGGAGCATGCATTTTGTGGGCAAAGGATAAGTGACGGGCATTCCAGGGAGTTGTGACAGGAAGAATAGTCTCAGAGGCGAGAAGAGGGTGTATTTGCATGAATCTCGAGAGGTTCTAGTGGTTTAGAGAATGAGAGTGTATACCAGAGCAGGTGAGAAGTAGCGGGGGTGAGAAGAGGGTAAGAGAACAGCTTTGGGGCGTCGCTGGCTTGAGGTGAGGTTGAGAAGCGTTTTTCAAGCTGTGGAAAGCCAGCAGAGGTTTTTCAGCAGGGGGGTGAGGTGACCAAAGCCGTACTTGAGAAAGATGACTTCGGTGATTGTGCGGAGGACGGGATGACGGGGAGTGGGAGACAGGAGGCAGAGAGAGCAATGAGCATGTCCAGTGCTCAAGCAGGAGGGAGGAGGTTTTCAGCCCAGGAGGGAAAACAGAGATGGAAGGACGCCTGGACTTCCTGAAGTAAGTTCTGGAGACTAAGTGGATGTGGCAAGTACAGGAGAGGGAGCGAGGCCAAGCCCTAGGTTTTCAGTGAAGGGAACGTGTAGGAGACTGGTGTCCTCAAATAGACGGGGGGGGGGGGGGGGAAGGAACAGAATGTAAAGAGAAGTTATAAAGGGAGCCCTATGGGCTTGTCCCCATAACTAAAATGAAGATATCTAGGTTATGAAAACTGACACGGCAAATATGGTAAATAGGATAATGCCCCCCCACCATGTCCATATCCTAAACTCTGGACCCTGTGAACGTGGTACCTTACATGGCAAAGGGAATTTACAGATGTGATTAAATTAAAGGTCTTGAGATGGGAAGATTATCTGGGATTATCTGGATATGAGCAATGGCATCACAAGGGCCCTTTTAAGAGAGAAGTAGGAGAATCAAAGACAGAGGAAAGGGGATGTGACAATGGAAGTGGGGGTCAGAGGGATGCCGTGGCCAAAAGAGGCCACGAGCCTGGAAGGTGGTCAGCCTCTAGACTTGGAAAAGAGAAAGAAGTGGATTCTCCCCTCAAGCCTCCTGAAGGTATGCAGTCTTGCCATACCTTTCTTCTAGTCTAGTAAAACTCATTTTGAACGTCTGACTTCCAAAACTGTAAGTGTAATACACTTGGGAGAGCCCTGGCTCCAGCTACAGGTAGGAACCCAAGACACAAACCTGGGCCATGTCTTGGGATGACAAGACAGGATGGATACAGATTTCCTTGGCAAAGGATCCAAGTGAGTCCGGGATTTGGGTCATCTGTCCAAAAGAGGAAGAGGCAGGTGACAGTTCGTGGTAGAAGTGGCAGGAAACACTTCCATGTTTCGGATGGACTTAATTACCAGGTCAGGTGCAGCTCAGACAACAAGGTGGGTGCCATGCTGGGGGATCGAGGGGTAAGGCAAGGGCTGATTCAGAAGATAACAGGGCAGGCTTCTAATTCCTGAGGTCATTCAGTCGCTAGAGGATCCCAGGGACTCAGAAGCCAGATAGACCACTTCTGTGAGTTACAGTTATTTAAACATAAGAAAAATCATCTCCTCCCTTTAGCTATTAAAACTCTAATGACTTAAAATATAAAATTATATAATTATTTTGTA